TGAACAAGAAAATTTTCTAAGTTAAATAATAAAATTGGCTAAATCAATCACCCAAACTCCAATTCTATCAAACTGGAAAATTTTCTAAGTGAAGTAATAAAAATTCGATCGACCAAATTCCGACTCCAACCGAGTGGAAAATTTGCTAAGTCAAAAAAGAAATTTTGTGAATACAATCGGTCAAATGCTGATTCATACAACAAGTTGAAAATTGGTAAAAATGAAATTTTGTGAACACAAATCGGTCAAATTCCGACTCCAACAAAGTGGAAAATTTCTAAGTTAAAAAAAAGAAATTGTGTGAATACAATCGGTCAAATTCCGATTCATACAACAAGTAGAAAATTGTCTAAGTTAAAAATGAAATTTTGTGAATACAATCGGTCAAATTCCGATTCATACAACAAGTCAGAGTTTTGCCTTCTACAAATGAATAGACTAAGCGATCATCCAAATTCCGAATCGAATAATGGATGAGAATTTGTCCACGTTAAAAATCAAAATTTAAATAGGGGTATCGTCATTTACCCGACTTGTGTGTCCTGGATCGACGAAATTCCAATTGGAAAGATGAATAACATATAGAAAGTTAAAATCCAAGTTCATTCATACGAAGGAGTCGTCCCAGATTCGATTTATGCGTCTTGAATCGCCGAAATTCCGACTAAAGAGATGAATATAATGTATCGAGTTAAAAACCGATTTCAATCATAGAAATCACGAGTTTTGCCTTCGAGTTATTTATACTCGCCCAGTCAGATTTTTACCGATCAATCACGAGTTTTGTCTTCGAGTTTTTTATACTCGCCCAGTCGGATTTTTACCGATCAATCACGAGTTTTGTCTTCGAGTTATTTATACTCGCCCAGTCAAAATTTTACCGATCAATCACGAGTTTTGCCTTCGAGTTATTTATACTCGCCCAGTCGGATTTTTACCGATCAATCACGAGTTTTGTCTTCGAGTTATTTATACTCGCCCAGTCGGATTTTTACCGATTAATCACGAGTTTTGTCTTCGAGTTATTTATACTCGCCCAGTCAGATTTTTACCGATCAATCACGAGTTTTGTAACTTCTGTATAAAAATGTCAAAAATCATATGAGGAAATAAGAAATAGTGATATTCATTGAATAGAGAAATTATTGGATTGTGGTGCCTCATTAAAAACCTTCTCAACAAAAACCCCTATTATTTTTGCGGGAAAAAAATATTGAGTTAGGAAAAGAGTGCACCTTCTACAAATGAATAGACTAACTGTAATAAAAACGTAAATTTTCCGCATTCCATGTTCTCGGTATCTTCCCTCCATCCAGACTTTTCAATCGATAGGCTCATTTGCCAATTACTTCGTCAATGCGGTAAGGGCCGACCCATTTTGGGGACAACTTGTTCCTAAGTTGGGTCAACTGAGCGCGTTTTAAAACGAGGTCTCCTTCAACGAAGCTTCGTGGAATGACCTTCGAGTTATACTTGAATGCTGCTTGTCGTTGAGCTCCTGCCTGATTTATTCGAGCTCTGTCTCTTGTTTCGGCGATCAGGTCAAGGTCGACTCGTCTTCCTTGGTCGGATTCCTCCGCAACGAAGAATGTTGCGCGCATGGAGGGCTATTTTATCTCGACTGGTATCATTGCGTCCGTCCCATATACTAGGTTAAACGGGGTGTCCTGGGTGGATGAGTGGATACTCGTGTGATACGACCATAGTACCCCGGGGAGTTCATCCACCCATGAGGAGCCTGAATTCTCAACACGCTTCTTGATTCCAGAGAGTATCACCTTGTTCGCTGCTTTTGCCTGGCCATTGGATTAGGGATGTTCTACAGATGTAAGCATCATCCGGATTCCGATATCTTTACAGAAACTCTGAACTCTTTCACTAGCAAATTGAGTTCCGTTGTCCGACACCAAAACCTGGGGTATGCCATATCGACATATGACATTTTTCCACAAGAAACTCCTTACCTTTTCTGCTGAGATAGTTGCCACTGGTTCTGCCTCTATCCATTTGCTGAAGTAATCCACCGCTACGATTAAGAACTTCAATTGACGTACCGCCATCAGAAAAGGACCTAAAATATCAATTCCCCATTTGTTGAAAGGCCATGGAGATATGAGCGAGTGGAGTCTTTCGGCAGGTGAATGATGTTGTACTGCGTGTCTTTGGCATTCGTCGCACTTGCGAACCCAGTCGATGCAATCTTTTCGCAGAGTCGGCCAGAAGTAACATGCTCGGGTTACCTTATACACGAGAGATCGACCTCCGATATGGCTTCCACACATCCCCCCATGAATTTCTTCCATTACTCGTTGGGCCTGCGATGTCGTTAAACACCTCAACAGGGGGGCACTAAACGCCCTTCGGTACAATATCCCCGACAAGATCACGAACCTCGCCGACTCCCTTGTAATCAACGATGCTTCATGCTTATCTTCAGGCAACGCTCCTTGTGTCAGATACAGAATGTAAGGTGTCATCCAAGATTTTTCCTCTTCTTCTAGGACCAACACCTCGGCGGCAGAACCATTGATGCTTGGTTGAGATAGGACTTCTTGGATATTACCGAGCGTGTGGCTCCTGGTCTCTTTGTGCTTGCTAGTTTTGAGAGGAGGTCTGCTCGTGAATTCTGTTCCCTTGGAACATGGTTCAGCGGAAACTTGGCGAAGTCGGCCGACATGACCTTTACTTTTTCCAAGTACCGAGCTAGTTGGGGATCCTTCGCTTGGAATGTTCCTGCTACCTGCCCCGTCACAAGTTGTGAGTCACTCCTAGCCGACAGGCTTGTTGCGCCCATCTCCTTTGCCAAAGCCATCCCTGCCAATAGCGCTTCGTACTCTGCCTGATTATTGCTCGCCCGAAACTCAAACCATAGTGATTATTCCAAGAGTATACCTCTGGGACCCTCGAGGACGATCCCGGCTCCGCTACCACCCAAGTTTGAAGCTCCGTTGACAGATAGGATCCACTCGTTTTCTCCAGAAGAAACCTCCTCGGCGGGTGGGGTCATTTCTACTAAGAAGTCAGCCAACACTTGAGCTTTAATGGCTCCCCTCGGTTCGTACTTGATTGCAAATTTCGACAACTCGATTGACCACTTCATCATTCTGCCCGCAAGGTCGGGCTTTTGCAAGACCTGTCTGATAGGGTAGTCTGTCTGGATCACCATTTCGTAGCTCTGAAAATAGTGTCTGAGCTTTCGCACGGTCACCAATATGGTAAATGCCAGCTTCTCGATCTTTTGATAGCGAACCTCCGCCCCTTGCAATACCCTGCTAACAAAGTAAATAGGCAGTTGGGAGTTACCTTTTTCTTGCACTAAGACTGTGCTGACGGTGCTGTCGGACGCCGACAAGTATACCAGCAAAGGGGAATCGGTTTGTGGTTTAGTGAGGATTGGCGGTGAGGTGAGAGCTTGCTTGAGTTCGCCGAATGCCCTTTCACATTCGTCTGTCCACGCAAAGCGATCGTTCTTCCTTAAACATTGGAATAAGGGTAACGACTTGTCCGCTACCTTCGAGAGGAACCGAGAAAGGGAAGCCATCCTCCCCGCCAACTATTGGACCTCTTTTACTGTCGCCGGGCTTCTCATGTTAATTATCGCGGAGCACTTATCAGGATTCGCTTCAATGCCCCGATGAGTCAATAGGAAACCGAGAAACTTTCCTGCTTGGACGCTAAAAGAACACTTCACGGGATTCAACTTGAGTTGATAACGCGCCAAAGTGTCAAATGATTATTGCAAGTCGGCGAAATGCCGAGAGACGCTGGCCGACTTGACCACCATGTCGTCCACGTATGCCTCCACGTTTCTTCCGAGCTGGTCTGCCAAAACCTTGTCCATGAGCCGTTGGTACGTTGCTCCTGCGTTCTTCAGGCCGAAAGGCATGACCTTGTAGCAGTAAGTGGCCTGATCAACTATGAACGCCGTTTTGTCTTCATCGACGGGATGTATCCTGATTTGATTGTACCCCGAGTATGCGTCCATGAAGCTCAACAGTTCATACCCCGATGCATTGTCGACTAGGCAGTCTATGTTGGGTAGCGGGTACGAATCTTTTGGACAAGCTTTATTTAAATCAGTGAAGTCTGTGCACATCCTCCAGTTTCCATTGCTCTTTCGTACCATCACCACGTTCGCTAGCCACGTCGGGTATTAGATTTCCCGAATGTGATCAGTCTCCATCAACTTCTTCGTCTCCTCAGTTATAGCCTTCCTTTTATCCTCTCCAAACTTTCACCTTTTTTGAATTACCGGCTTCGCCTTGGGGTCGACCATGAGATGGTGACATAAGAAATCGGGATCAATACCCGGCATATCGCTGGCACTCCACACAAAGGCCGATATGTTGCTTTTCAACACAGTCACCAGCCCTTCCTCGTCTTTTTTGGTCAGAGACACACCAATCTTGACCGTTCTTCCTTTGGCCAGGCTAACCTCCTTCACATCCTCCGCTGGGGCTGGTCGGGTATCAAAATTACTCACCCTCGGATCTAACTCAATTGACTGAACACCCTGATCAACTTGTGTCACATGTAGGTGTCTCCTCGCCCTCAAGCTATCCTCATAGAATTTCCTCGCGACTTCTTGATCGACACAAAGGACCCCGACCCTTCCGCTGGGCAAGGGATACTTCAGCTTCAAATGGGGTGTGGAGACGACGGCTCCCAATTTATTCAGCGTAGGTCGGCCAACTAGTATGTTGTGGGACGACTGGGCGTTCACCACCAAGTATCGGACGGTGATGGTTTTCATTTGATCTCCCTGTCCGAACGTGGTTTCCAAGTTGGCGTACCCCCTAGCCGTTACCTGATCACCTGCAAAACCAACTAACGTACCTGCATATGGCATAAGACGATCAGTCATAATTTTCATCCCGACAAAAGCTTCCCAGAACATTATGTCCGTCGAGCTGCCTTGGTCCACCAACACTCGTTTCACATTGTAGCCCATGACTATCGCCGAGACAACTATAGGGTCGTCCTCATGGGGAGACATCCCTTCAAAGTCGGCGTCCGATGGGTCCATGGGTCCGATGAAATTCACACCAGTCAGTTTTGTAGGGTCTCAACTGACGGTCAGTTACGGCCGGGAACTCAAAAAGTGACGCACTATTGACGTCATGCAGTATGTGCCTCCTGGGAACGTTGAGCGGGGTGAACTTTTCCTGTTCGTTGCTTCGTGCCCACTCGCCCTTCGCCCGACCGCCATAGTCCGCCTGCCTGCGATTCCCCTCCTTAGCATCGTAGTGATCACGTCGTTTATTCCAATTTGAGCGTACCCGGAGGTGCTTGTTGCCCTCCTTATTACTGCCCCCTGCCTCTCGGCTTTCAGCTGCTCTTTTGATAATCTGGTTTTCCTCCGTCTTGATGTGACTCAGGGCGAAAGCCCTCACCTCCGACATCGTTTGACAATTCTCTTTTTCGAGCGCAATGTCAAAAGCCCCGGACCTTAAACCCTTCTGGAATGCAATGACTGTCATCCTTTCATCCAACGATGCTATCCTCAAGGCGATCTCGTTGAACCTTTGTAGAAAGTCCTTCAGCGACTCCTCGCGTTGCTGCATGAGGTCAAACAAGTCCGACGTGATCGGTGGCTTCTTTTTGTTAGCGGCAAATTGTTCCATGAATAGCCGACTGAAGACATCGAAGTCGGTGATTAATCGGTCAGGGAGACCACTAAACCAATCAAGTGCTTCCTTTTTGAGTGTGCCCATGAATAGTTTGCAGCGGACTTCCATGCTCCCTCCATAGATCAACATTTGAGCTCGGAAATCCGTCAAATGCTGACTGGGATCCTGCGTTCCATCAAAAGGCTCGACTTGGGGTATCCGATGATCCCTGGGGATGGTCTCGGCCTCTATGGCTTCCGAGAACGGTCGAAAATCCCTAGGGACTTCCAACATGACATCCTCCTCCACCGTCCTGGTACTGGCCACTATCCTGGCCTGCATCTCGTCTGCTCGCCTCCTGATTTCCTCATTCTCGCGTTGAATGGCGTCCTCTATCTCCCTGGATCGTGCATTTTCCTCCCTTAAGCCATTGATCATGGCCATCATCTCCTCCATGGTAGGGGGTTCTGAGTTGTTGTTTGACGTGCCACCTCTCGCCATGGTAAAGTGCAGGTTCTTCTATACGACTTGGGGCGTAGGAGAAGTTTCACTGTAGCCCCACGGTGGGCGCCAAAATGTTCCGGGCACGGGGTGCACTAGGGTTTCTTCCTAGGTCAAGCCTCAAAGCGAGAGCATTCAAAGGTGTAATCTGCCCCCTCAACTCTAGGGTTTTGAGTTTTATAGTTTCTTATTCACGGGCCTTATGGGCCCCGAGAATATAGGGATCTCTTTAACCGTTACAATCTGGAAAATATTCGGTTAGTGAAGGTGGGACCTCGCCGTTGCCGAATGTCCAATCGGATAATGACCGAGTATGCCTTTTTGGGTGAGTGAGACTAGTATTTGGTTGACGTGGCTCAAATCGGCTATATGCCGATTGACTCTAAGAGGGTGAGTCGGCCAAGGTTACTGTCGGTGATCGCATGAGGGGGGATCAGGTCGTGAATCGGCCTGGACAATGCACGGGTTTATAGTCGGCCTCACACGCATAGTAGCCCTCATAGTCCGAGATACCAATCGGCCTACGGCCGAGACTGTCCAGTTTGAAACGGTCTAATTAAAAAATTATTTTTATTTTTGAAATTCAATTTAAAATATTTTAATAAAAAATATATTTAATAAAAATTATAAATTATAATAAATTATTTTTAATACATATCTTATAAATATAATTTAATTATTTAAGTTAATTTTTAATATCTACTTTTTATAACTTACATTATATTAATTTAATAAATTTTATTATAATTAAATATAATCTTTTTATTATTAATAGACATTGTTATATTTTATTAAAATTTAAACTTAAATATTACATTAGAATTTTGCATATACATTAAACGTTAAGAATATATAAACAACGTTTTATTTTAATTTTTAATTTTAAAAAATTATAATATTATATTTAGTTAATGTTATTTTATATTGATAATAATAATAATTATTATTTTATTAATATTAATTTGATCAAGAATTATTGAACATTGAACTAATATTTAGATCAATTCAATGATTGATCTGATTTTAAAAGATTATTAAAAACATTTTGATCAAAGAATAACACCCAAAAACTCTCTCACACAAAATAATCGATGGCAGTTAATATATAAAAGATAATTTAAAAAATAAATTAAAATGGTATTTAATTTTTTTGTTTTAAAAAAAATAGAAAACAGAGATATATTTATTAAAAAGGGAAGATTTATATTTTAATTTGTAACGGCACGGGAACAAACACCGTTTTTCAATCATCATCCGAGAATGTATGTCTTCTTGTTTTTCTCTCGTGTTGCTCATTCAGCTTTATTTTGTGGTCATTTGTTAAATACACCCCTCTCATTGCTTGCTAAACCGTAGCCCAGATTTTTTCCCCAACATAAAATGAGAGACGATTTCCTCCCCAAAATCGGTTTGAGCCTCCATTTGCTAACGATTTATTGTTATTTTCTCTTATACACCAACAGTTTATTGTTAATTTGTTGACATGTTTTGAAATGAATTTAGCCTCATGATATATATATATATAT